TGGAGCTGAGCTGAATGAGAGAGAGAGAGAGAGAGAGAGATGCAGAGCGTGTGCAGAGCAGGGGGATGCGAAGAACAGTATTAAGAAGCACTGCTTTAGAACATTGATTTTGAACCTTGCGAATCCATTAGAAATGTTAGAAGACAGAATCGCGATTCATATATAAATAGATTTTTTCGTGCTCCCCTAGTTTTGACGGCATGGCAACAACTCTTCCTCTTCTCTAAAGCAGCACAGCATGGCCTCGCCCCCTTTGTTGCATGTTCCTGGGGGCGGGGTTTATCTGGGTTTGTGATGTCGCGAACCCGGGAAGTAACTCGTTGTAGTCCCTACGAGCCGTTTTTGTAGGCATTAAACTGCCTTCATTTTAAAAGACGATATCTCTGTTTGCATTGAACTTTCAGCGTTGTAACTTTGCAGATATTGTTTATGCTCAAACAGCAACATTACAAACTAACTAACGTTAAAAAAGTGAAATCGCAATCAACCACCCCTTTAATTAAATCAATTGATTTTGAAATCAGTGGGAAGAATGCAAGCATATAATGCTATCCACAGAAAGTGAGATAAATGTATTGCATCCAATCACAGTAAATTGCAGAAATTAACATGCTATTTTTTCCCCCAACCCTACTTATATTACATATATGAACATTGTATCTTCTATTAGCTATCCTGCTCTCTAAATACAAGCACTAGCCACTAAAAAAAACCAAATTGCCGACTCAAACCCGAAAAGAGCTCCTCACCTGCGGCGTGACACCACACGCGCTCCTCCCTCTGGACTCATTATGTTGGGTGCTGAGTTTCTTCCGGCTCGAGGGCTTCCGTTGAAGTGGATCGGACTGGCTCGCACATAGGCTGGAAACTCCTTCAGAGCGTGGGAAAGACAGAAGGATGAGTGCATGACGAACGGCTTGGGAAATCAGAAAGAATCTGACTACTGATATGCACCTGAATGCCGAGGCTGGATTTCATCAGATGAAACTGATCCACCAGTTTCTTGTGCAGAGGCCGCATGTCCTGAGGAACGAACTTCTCATGCACCGTCAAACCAAACTCCAGTATGTGAGCCTGAAGCACAAACGATGGGTTTTAAAGATGTGAAACGTTCATGACAATGAATTTAATTAAGTAATTGTAATTGAGTAAAACAGAATATTTAGTGGCAAATTATGTAGGGGAGAGACATGATTGTATCCACTGAGATTTGAATAGATCATGAAAAGTAGGCTATATATTATTGAGTATTTTTAACGAAAAGTAATCATTTGTTTTATGTTACATTCAATCGTGAGTTCATATTTACGGTCATGTTACTCAAAGAAATGTTTGCAAAAAATCGTTAAAGTTTGCTAACGTCATATTACAGACTGCACGATAGTGCCACAACATATTTTCATGTCTGATCAGGGCGATAACCACCGTAGACATTGAGGAGGGCTAGTAGCCCCAATAATTAGAAATCACTAAACCCAGGGTAGGCGGAGGGGTAGGGGAAGGGGTATAAAATAGAATTGGGATTGGGCCTTAATTTGCAATTATTCGCAAATATTAGAAATAATTGTCCAAACTGTGACAAAGTCGCTAATGTGGGATATATTACACTGTGATAGACTGAATTATGAAAGATAGTTTCAAATACCAGAGTTGCTAAAAGAGAAAAAAAAAACTCAATTGTGTTATAATGGAAGAAATAATTTGTCAAAATATGAAGACGAAAATAAGTGAAATGGTCTCAGTAGCGAGAAAGAAGTCTCAAATGTGAAAAATAAAGTCGCAATTATCAGAAAAAAAGTCATACTTATAAGAAATGAAGTCCAAATAGTGAATTAGTCGCAATAGCGAGAATTAAGTCTGAAATGTGAGAAATAAAGTCTGACTTATCCCAAAAAAGGCAAAATTATAAAAAATGAAGTACAAATTGTGAAATACTATCAACAGCGAGAAATACATCTCAAATGTGAGAAATAAAGTTGCAATTATCCCAAGAAAGGTGCAATTATAAAAATCAAGTTCAAACTGTGAAAGTCTCATTAGTGAGAAATAAATATCAAATGTGAGAAACAAAGTTGCAATTATCAAAAAAAAGTCGCAATTATAAGAAATGAAGTCCAAATTGTGAAATAGTCTCAATAGTGAGAAATAAGTCTCAATTGTCAGAAATAAAGTTTCAATTATGAAAAAAAAGTTGCAAAATGTAAAACAATCTAAAATGAGTTGATAATGAACATTTTCTGCTTGCAGTTATTTAACATGGATTTTATGTAAACAAATATCTAACAAATCAAGAGTAATAAGATGAAAGACATTTATTAAAGCAGCAAACAGGATCCATTTTTATTTCATGTTGTCTTTTAAACAGCTCACTTCATAATTAAATGATCAGCAAAATATTTTCTCCCCCTTCAGTCTTTAAAAGTTCACTTTCATGCTTGTAACTGGCTTATATCCATGGTTACTGTCTAGACAACAGCATCATGTGCTCGGCCCTGGAGATTTCCTGGTTACTAAGCAGCACGGGCATGAAGGGAAGAAGTGAGACCAACAGAAAAACCAGCTAGTGCAGATCTTAACGGCTAAATCCCAAATGCCAAAACAGACGTGAATGATGAGCGTGAAACATCATAAATGTATGTAAAATCTGGTTTAGATTAGATTTGGTTTCTTGAGACAAACCTGCTCAAACATGAGCTCTCGGAGACGGCCGATTTTGTCTCCGTCTTCGGGGTGATTCATGATGTAGTCCTTCACGAAGAACGCCTGCGAGAAATAAAAGACACACAAAATTACACTCCTTAACCACAATGCATTGTGCCTCGCCAGTCTCCACATGTTTTGTGGTGAGAGTTAGAATTTACCTTGACATCTTCAGCAAACAATATCATGCATAGTTTAGTCTTGATTAACTTTCTGTTTTAAGGGACATGAAGTGCTGAAACCAAATAAAGTGCAAGAATGTGAGCTTAAAAACATGCGTGTTTTCAGATCTTCTAAGCTAAAGGGGAAGGAGAAAGAACAGACGGTGTATCTGTGTCCGATCTGTTCCAAGGACGATGAACTGGTATCTCCAAAGAAACAGTGGGAGTGCAGAAGTTTCAGGAGGCAAAACTCTCAGACTTCAAAGATTCCAGCAGGCAGATTTTTCCATTGCCTCGAATATGACATTTGGCCTGAACACCAGCCGAATGCTACCAGCAGATGGCCATTTAAATTGCAGCTGCACGCTACACCTGCAGATCACTAAAGCCACTCACAATCACAGTGAGTTTTAGTGACAAAGTGGCCGAAAGTCATTGATTTTGGCAACTTTATATTAATTATATTTTTATATACACATTTTTTTTTTGGTCACACTTTATTTTAAGGTCCAATTCTCACTATTAACTAACTACTGTATTAACTATAACTTTGGCCTCAATAAACTCCTAATTTGCTGCTTATTAATAGTTAGGTAGTTATTGAGTTTAGGTAATGGGTAGAATTAAGAATGTAGAATATGGTCATTCAGAATATGTGCTTTATAAAACTAAACTTAAGTGAAAGCTTTTTATAATAATAATAATAATAATAATAATAATAATAATTCATTATTCCATTTTGTACATATGTTCCAGAATAGTTTCTATTTATATCTTTTAAGTGTTTTTTTTTCTTGACAGTGTCACTATTAGTATGCTCCCTGCTTTGGATAGATGTATATTATATAGAGCATTTTACAAATACATTTTAATTAAAGTAAAAAAAATAAAATAAAAAACTTTCTCTTATATCTAATATTGTTTTGCTTTTTTTAATTGAATAATTTAAATAATTTGAATAAATGAAATAACTAGATTTAAATGAAATATTTTAAAACTAATATTTCCAGAATTTATTTTGGCTTTGGTACAATGAGAAAAGGTATTTATTTTGGCAAGTAACATTGTCTCATAATATGTACTACTATATGCTATTTTTCGTACACGGTACAAATTGGGTTATGTACATGAAAAAACTAATTCCCAATTTGGGAAAAATTTCTGTCAGTAAAAATTCTACAATCTTTTCAGTGGTGAAAGTTCTGAAAGAAGGTTTTACCCAATTTAAGAAACACCACACGACTACCAGCAGATTTTGGTACCCATGATTAGAATGTAACAACATGAAATCAATTTGAAGGTGCGTCAGTGTTCCCCTTGGATAAGCACTATTTCATATTTTCATTATAATTTTGACTTCCAAATTTTGGTTTCATTTGCAAAAAATGGCATCTGGACACTCTGTCTTTCACAATTTGTCATAATTTCTCAAACTCAAACTTGCTGGGCGATGTTATGATATCGATAAATCAGTCTGGTTTCGATGCCTTCTTAGTTTTGTCATTACCTCTATGATTTTGCTGATACTTTTATCTAGGGATGTAACGATTCACTCAACTCACGGTTCGATTCGATTCACGATTTCTTTTTTTCTTTTTTTACAAAATTAGATTTAAGACAAATTATAAATTAAATGTGTCCTTTTATTATTGCTTGGACAAAATGCTGCACATTTCTTTGTGAAATTGAAATATAACACTATAATAATATACTAATATAGACATAATAATAATCATGATCCAAACAAAGATGCTGCATACATGCAACGCGAGCAATTTTTAATCTAAATTAGATTGTATAATTTTGAAATTTGAAGCAAAAACAGAATGGTTTGACTTCAGTTTTATGAAACTATACATAAAAATATCTGCATGAAACAGCGGATGAGACGCAGATTCACTCTCTGCCAGCAGATGGCGCTTACAGCATTTCCTTGGTTTCCGCTGTAAACAAAGCAGCGCTGAACTTAATGAGACGCAGATTCACTCTCTGCCAGCAGGTGGCGCTTAAAGCGTTTCATTGGTTACAGATGTAAACAAAGCAGTGCTGCACTTATGAACTTTAATATGCGTTATACAGAGGCAAGATGAAAAGAAAAAATACCATCTAAACTTTTCTAAAGACAGTAAGTTCCCCTCAGACATACATTCATATAAACTCCTACACCTAAATGAATCGCGATTTGTTTAGCATCTAAACCGATTTGAATCGTCACATATTTGAATCGATTTTCAACCGGCTCGCAGTTAATCGTTACATCCCTACTTTTATCCAAAGTTTTATTTCATGCCTGGGGAAAAAAAACAATGACCTTGTTGCGCCATACTCTACAATTTGAGTTACAATATCTTTTGAGAAAGGTTTTTGAGCATTTAAAGGAATAAAAATACCACTGACTTACACAAATTTCTCTTAGATTTCTGGAGCTACTAGATTTAATTGCAGCTACCTGCTGCAGTCAAACGCCATTTGAATGTGATGAACTCTGGGACAGTTACTTGTATATTTGTGAATAATTTTCACAAGAATTTAAGAAATGGGATAAACATACCTCTGCCTTACTAAATGATATTCTCTCTGCACTTCTGGAGAAGGCGCAACTATCAGGAAAGTCTGAAAATCGTTAGGGCGAGCCAATTAAAAGCGAGGGGCTTGCAAATGAGAGGAATTTCAGAGTGGAATTTCCTTGATGGCTGACCTTAACACGCAGAAATGCAAGTAAATATTAACGCCAACAGCTGGAACGCTCAATAAACAACTTATTGGCAATGCTGTCATGTTTGCGCTCCAAATATATTAACTGCTGCTCATCCCAGACCCTCAGCCTCAGGACGCTCAGCCTACATGAAGTGAATTTAGTGCAAATGTACATTCTGGAACACGTACAAACACAAACTCGCCTGTATACGGTCGACTCTCCTCATTAAAGCTGCTCTCTAAGGCTATCAAGGTAAATACTGCAGTGACACTAAAGCGAGGTTGCTATGCAACAAGCGCTCATACGATCTGGAAAGATCTGTTGTATTCGCTCAGAATATGACTTCTTTGAGATACTATAGATTTTCCCAGGGGTTCACAAGTGGAAAGATTTTTCTTTAAATGCTAGTGTTTCTGTAGTTTATCGGCAGAGTACACAGGGAAGTTACGGCCGAGATATTCTCTTTCGGACAGGCTAACCAGACATTAGAACTCCGAAGGTATCCCAGAATTCCCTTCGGCCATCTGAAGGCTCTGTGTTCTCTGGCAGAGGACACCGGGAGACAACCTTGAGAGAGCGTGTATACATTTTTCAAACACGAGGTGGTCTTGCATCAGTGAGGACTTGGAATACATATAATATACACATAAATATGAATCGAGCAGGGCAAACGTCCAGGAAGGCCAATGATTAATCGCCAGCTTGGATAACAAAACGCTGTGCTCATGTAGTTTGACCGGCCCTGTCTGCTCTAATTGTGCTGAAGAGGACGTCACATATTCACCGAGCGCCTGGCCTCCAGGTACATGTCTCATCAATTGAACAAACGCTCTCCTGTGACCCACCGTCTCCATGCCTGATATACGTTCTGAGAGGCAGGAGATTGATTTTCAGCCACATGGGCGTGTATTTAAAGCGGGCAGCTCTGGCCTTCTGCTTGTTCTGAAAAACCTTGTTGTAGTAAGGCCTTCACACATCTCACAAGGCTTCACATATCTCGCACTGCGCACTGACACTGTATAGAGCATATAGAAAATCAGTTTTGTGCATTAAAAAGTGGCTTCTGGGATATTACGCCAAGTTTTTACTTTTAAAAATTATAAAACTGTTATCAGCAATGTGATATTGACAATTATTACAAAATTCCTCTTCATGAAATCTAATTTACATAAGGTAGGGTCACATTTACATCCAAATGCTAATTTAATCCACACCAAATGAAACTCAAACCCCAGAATTTTGATATAAACTGCTTAAATTAGCAGGATTCTGCCAGATTTACTGAATGGAAACATCTGTGTTGCACACTAAATTTTAAGACTTTATACTGTTAGGGGTTAGTTCACATTTGTAACTCTTAGTATGAGAAATAGTAATGGTGATGACACATGCATTTTTGCTGCTAATAGTAAAATTAGTAAATCAGTTAGTTAGGGCAAACTGACATGAGTTAAAGGAACTAGGACAATAACTACACAATGCAAGAGAACAGCTCTTCAAAAAAAAAAAAGTGCAAGTATAAGACTCTGGTGTGCAAGTGTGTGCGTTCGGAAAAGAGAAGAGATGTCTGGAGGATACATTGGGCTTCAGCCTGGTAGATGGTCTGGTCAGGCTGGTTGGCGTGTTGCATTGCGATGGCATGAGGGAACTCATTGAGCATGCGCTGCTGGAACGCCTCCAGACGCTCGTAGTCATGACCACGGCACACAAACTCCTTATTCTGTACAACACACACACATATACACACATTCTGGTTAATACTGACACCAAGTGGACTTCAGAGATACTGACAGTGACATCTGGTATGCTGCAGGATGTCAGGATGACACATACCCGTAGAAAGAAAGGGAACTTCTTGCCGTAGAAGCCCACTCGGAAGAACTCTGGCTCCAGACGCTGTTGGTCCATTATTTTATCATAAAACGAAGCTTCCATCATCTGTGATTTGCAGTCATATAATAAGCAGAAAATACAATTAATACAGTTTTTCAGTTATAGGGACCATATTGTACACATTTGATGCATTTAATTAACTAAAAGTTAAAACTTTCTTGCACTAAAATAATAAAGTTGTAGAAGACCATTTCTACATTCTCTGACATTTAATTTTTTTTTACCTTCTAGAGTTACGTACGTACACCGGGAGACAACCTTGTGTGTATACATTTTTAAAATATGAGGTGGTCTTGCATCAGTGAGAACTTGGAATACATATAATATACAACCTCCTGATAGCGAGCGAGACCTCCGTTGACAGCCGCGTCGATGACTCCGTTGAGACACATGGTCAGGGGGTTGATGTTCTGCATCTGCCGGGTTTGACATTGCGTGATCAGCGTCCGCAGTTGCAGGTTCTTGTTCTCGATGACCTCGATAGCATTCTCCAGAGGACTCACCTCCACCTGGGGCCAAAAAAAAACTGGTTGAAAAAAAGCTTTCATTCAATGTTTGGAGAACTTTAGAAGAGCAACGAATTTAGTTTGTAGGCCTGAAACATACCTTATGCAAGCATGGGAGTGTAACAGCTTCTGGCTTTTGTTATGATTCTTATTGACTTTCTTTATTTTAATCCAAAAAACTATTTTTAAATTGGCACTACCAATCAAAAGTTTGAAGTCAGTAAGATTTTTTTATTTATTATTTAAGAAATTAATACTTTCAGTAAGGATGCATTAGATTAATGAAAAAAAAACAGTAAATACTTTTACATTGTTGTTTAGGAACCTATTCATCAAAGAATCCTTAAAAAAAACCCTTATCAGGGTTTCCAAAAAAAATATTAAGTAACAAAACTGAATGGAGTAATGGCTGCTGAAAATTAGAAATAAATTAAATTTTACGATATATTAAAATACAAAACTGTTAGTTTAAATTGTAATATTATTTCACAAAATTACGGTTTTATTGCATTTTTATCAACTAATTCCTGCCTTGGTGAGCATTTATTTTTCAAAAATCAATCAATTAACCTTGCCGCCCCCAAACTTTTGAAAGTTATTGTAAATTTTCAATTGGCTTTCTGACATACTACTGTTCACAAGTTTGAAGTTTTTTTTAAGAAATTAATATTTTCAGCAAGGATGCACTGAATTAGTTAAAAAAGTAAAGACTTTTACATTGTTACAAAATATTTATATTTCAAATAAATGCTGTTCAGGAACCTATTCATCAAAGAAAAAAATAATTATCAGGCTTTCTACAAAAATATTAAGCAACAAAACTGAAGACTGGAGCAATGGCTGCTGAAAATTTGTAATAAATTAAATTTTACAACACAAAACTGTTTAAATTGTAATATTTCACAAAATTACTGTGTTTATTGCATTTTTATCAAATAATTGCTGCACTGGTGAGCATGAGAGACAACAATTATACTACAAAAACAATCCTTGTTGTGAATAAGATTATTTTGCTACACATTAAGTTTCACCAAATGGTGCCATTTATTACCAATTAAGTTAAAAAGTGTGCATATTAATAAAAATATCAAACAATTTTCAGTCTCTCTACTACAATCTCTAGTTTGAAAGGTAACTATATCAGTCCCACTGAGCATTCGTTTCCAACATTAAAAAAAAGCACATTAAGTATTTACTACAAGACCAAAACACTCACAATGCATTGTCTAAGCATTCACATTTACAGTTTGTTCCTGACCTTAATGCGCTGGGTGTGAGAATCATACCAAAGGAAAAGTTTCATGGGAGATCTACTTACCAGCTCTCTCCTCTCCACTTCAAACCAGCGTGAGATGCCTGGAAGACTCTGAACAAGCGTTAACGTTGTTCTTTCTACCCACAGACTCTGAAATTCAAAAGCAAATGCTCATTGACACGCATCAGAGTTCAACCCGTCAGAGAAAGTCCAAGAGATCCCATAAGGCAAAGCGGTTACAACATATTCAATGAACGAGTGACTTTCCTACTCCAGTATGTATAATACATATCATTTAATCTACACTTTATCCAAGCTCATTCTCAGCAACGATTTACTGAATGGAAACATCTGTGTTGCACACTAAATTTTAAGACTTTATACTGTTAGGGGTTAGTTCACATTTGTAACTCTTAGTATGAGAAATAGTAATGGTGATGACACATGCATTTTTGCTGCTAATAGTAAAATTAGTAAATCAGTTAGTTAGGGCAAACTGACATGAGTTAAAGGAACTAGGACAATAACTACACAATGCAAGAGAACAGCTCTTCAAAAAAAAAAAAGTGCAAGTATAAGACTCTGGTGTGCAAGTGTGTGCGTTCGGAAAAGAGAAGAGATGTCTGGAGGATACATTGGGCTTCAGCCTGGTAGATGGTCTGGTCAGGCTGGTTGGCGTGTTGCATTGCGATGGCATGAGGGAACTCATTGAGCATGCGCTGCTGGAACGCCTCCAGACGCTCGTAGTCATGACCACGGCACACAAACTCCTTATTCTGTACAACACACACACATATACACACATTCTGGTTAATACTGACACCAAGTGGACTTCAGAGTTACTGACAGTGACATCTGGTATGCTGCAGGATGTCAGGATGACACATACCCGTAGAAAGAAAGGGAACTTCTTGCCGTAGAAGCCCACTCGGAAGAACTCTGGCTCCAGACGCTGTTGGTCCATTATTTTATCATAAAACGAAGCTTCCATCATCTGTGATTTGCAGTCATATAATAAGCAGAAAATACAATTAATACAGTTTTTCAGTTATAGGGACCATATTGTACACATTTGATGCATTTAATTAACTAAAAGTTAAAACTTTCTTGCACTAAAATAATAAAGTTGTAGAAGACCATTTCTACATTCTCTGACATTTAATTTTTTTTTACCTTCTAGAGTTACGTACATGACCTCTTATTTGATTGACCAACATTTTTGCATGTGAAATGATCAACAATGCAGCCAAGTTGCCAATTAGGGGTTGATATGTACTGTAAATGTTTTCCATGTGTTTCTGTTAATAACTGGCTTAATGCAAACAACTGTCTTATTACATAAAAAGTTTTAACTCACCCTCATTTTGCTAAGGTTTCTGTAGTCATAGTAGGATTCGTACTGGTCCGCTAACTCTCTGCACAGGATGATGCCGTTCTCCCAACACTAAAGGAGGTAGAGAGGGGTATTTTAATTCACATGCAGTTTCAAAACTCACCAGTAGGAGCCACTAGAGCACCATCAATACTTTGAGAACCAACGACATAGTCAAATATGCAAGATTTGGATGATTTGCAAGATGGTATGAGGAAATCTGGTTGATTTTAATTCAATATCTGGTAAAAAATAAATAAATGTAAAAAATAAAATAAAATAAATAAATAAAATGCAGATTATATTTTCCTATAAAATATATATTTATATTAATTTATCTTGGCAATCTTGACATTGAAAAAGAACTGCTACTTATTTTGTTTTAATGATTGAATTTAAAAAATATACATTAATATAAATAATTAGCAAAATATAAACTGCTTTTTATTATCTTAAATCTTGGAAATCTAAAATAAAATAAAATAAAATAATTTATATTTTCATACTAAATATATATTTAAACAAATTTTCTTTGGCAATCTTGACATTGAAAAAAAAACTACAGCTACATATTTTGTTTTAATGACTGGAATTAAAAATATGAATTATTATAAATAAAATGTTTGTAGCAAAATATAAACTTTTTTATTATCTAAAATCTTGAGTTGAAAATGCATGACATATTTTGTTACTACATGTTTAGTTTGTACTGTAATAATAAATGTCATGATGTGACGTTTTTTGTATTCACTTTTGCTTTCAACTGCAATATTTCATATTGTCTTTAAAAAGTCCAGGACATTTGTCGAATATCCACGTATTGTTCTTATGCACATCGTTTATTATGAGGAAGCGTTTCAGTCCTATTGCTTCCTAAACCCACCAGCACAACAGATGGCTTCAGCCATGAGGAGAGCAGACAACAAATGCATAGATTTTTTATTCTCATCAAGTGATTAGGTGATTGAGGTTACTGATTATGTAAATGACATTTAGTTCTCAAGGACAACTACTCAAAATACAATCACGCACTGATAATTTAAAAGCAGGCTGAGAGGAGCCACTCGATGAGAAATGTGACACAAAGACAGGGAGGACGGCAGAAAACAGACCTTTCCACGGTCAAAGTTCTGGATGATGGTGAGGTGCAGATACTCCTTCCTCTGCCACTCACTCTGCATCGGGTAACTCAGAAACTCCCGCAAGGGTCTCTCAGACCATTCCAGCAGCTCGTCGTACAGCAGAAGTGTATATGAGGCCTCTGCACACATAAACACGTCATCAAAATATATCTGTTAACTAGGGCTGCACGATAAATATCACATATTCAATGAACGAGTGACTTTCCTACTCCAGTATGTATAATACATATCATTTAATCTACACTTTATCCAAGCTCATTCTCAGCAACACAGTCCACTTATCAAGCCACACTGCTCCACATATTAAATTTCACATTCATAAATTAATTCCTCATCCAGCACAGCCTGAGAATTAACCTGAGCTGGCGCAAGTATAACAGAGGAAGCTCTGTAAGAACTTCAGATGCTTGATTGTGATATTCAAAACCACCTCAGTCCAATACAATCGTATCATCTGGATAGCGTCTCAGCCGAAGTTTACCTCTAAATGAGATTTTCAGACATTATTACTGGGCGGTAAGTGGACCGGGGTGGTGAGTACCCCCGGTGTCTCTGAAAATATAATATCTGGCAGGCTAAACAGTTTATTTCAAACACAGTAACCACCGGAGGTCGGGGGAAATCTAACCCCCGCGGTGGATCGAATCCATGCCGAGGCTGTGATTGTCTATGCTGGATATATTGAGTGAGAGAGGAAGGGAAATGATATTTGGAAGGAGCGCGTCTCTCAGCCCCTAAAACTTTAATTAGCCTCTCTGGACCAAGGCTGTGAATAATGCAGCATGTGAGAGAACACCTGAGCTCTACACACACACACACACACACACACACTGGCCGGCAGACACTGGAAGTGAAGGAATGAATATACAAGAGAGAAGAGGAAGAGTGAAACACAGGAGATGAGAAAAAATGACATCAAAAGAATGCAGAAAAAAGATGGAATAAAAAAATCCTTTAATAAAAAAACTCACACATTATTTACTCACCCGCATTACTTTTTTCTACCGTCTACACTTTTTGAAGAATTTTCTGGTCAGTTTTGATCCATACATTTACAATGAACATGGTCAGGAGTCTTAAAGCTTCAAAATGGACGATAAAGGCACTATAAAGGCAGTTCATATGATTCGTGCACTAAATTATAAATCCTAAAAAGGCATACGACCGAATTATCAGAATTCTGCCAGATTTACTGAATAGAAACAGTTTGTGTTGCACACTAAATTTAGGTTGCTAATCACTGAATAACACTGAAATTAGCTGATCAAATGTGCTGGCTGCATGGAAAACAGCAGCCAGCACATTCTTCAAAAGATCTCCTTTTGTGTTTCACAGCAAAAAAACAGTCAGACAGGTTTGGAGTGATATAAAAGTAAATAAATGATGACAGAACTTCAATTTCTGAAAAACGCTCTGGCCACTAGCTCACCTTAAATTCGTTTTCTTTGTCTTTGGTGCCCTTGTGAAACGGGCGGTCGTAGCGAAACCTCCAGATGTGGTTAACCTTATAGAAGCTCTTGATGTTGTCGGGGACGCCGTCACGCTGCAGGACGTCCTGGCTGTCTGGGATTGGTGTGACAGCATAGATCTGAAGATCTGCATGACGGTTCGTCAAGAAACATGCAATATGTGTTGCTCGAGCACAAATGCATTTGAATAACTTCTTGAACAACTAAAAGTAATGTTTACATGATTAATATTAAATTAATAATTGTATTTAAATTTATTTAAATAATTCATTATATTATATTATATGACACTCTAAAAATGCTGGGTTAAATACAACCCAGCGTTGGGTAAAATATGAACAAACCTAGCATTTGGGTTGTTTTGACCCAGCATTTGGGTTATTACCAAGAAGGTTGGGCTAAACATTTAACCCAACCGCTGGGTCAAAAGAACCCAATCTCTGGGTTTGTCCATATTTTACCCAGTGCTGGGTTGTATTTAACCCAGCATTTTTTATATTATTTTATATTATATTATATTATTTTACAAAAGTGTTTAATAACAAA